GGTGGAGGACAGGAGCAAGAGGGGCAACGTTGAATCATGTAAGTCATGTCTACTCCCATTCTATTGGTTAAAGTAAGTCCCATGGCCAAGCCCACGTCAGTGGACTAGCCCACGTCAATGGACTAGGGAGATACACTCCAACTATGGAGACACATGGAAAAGGTAGGGAGGAAATGAGTAATTGTGAACAAATTGAAAATATCGTAAACAAGTGTTTAAAAGTTTTGCCTTTATGAATTAAGTCTCCAACCTCTACTTCTCTCCCATCTTTCTTACCTTCACTTCTGCCACATCTCTCTGACTTCTGCATTCCTCTGCTCCTAAGGGATCATGTGATTACATCAGGCCCACCAATAATTCCAAATAATCTCCATATTTGAGGTCAGATGGTTAATAAACTTAAACCCATTTACAAAGTCCATTCACAGCTGTATCTAGTGTTTGAAAAATAAGCAACAGGAATCTTGGAGAGACATCTTTGAAATTCTACTTACCACATTGGCTTCAATAAGAAAATAAGAAAAATTATTTTTGAACTCATCTAGTCCTGGTGCTTGTCACTGTCTTCTAGGAAGTTGGTTTATTCAAAATATCCATTCCTAGGGGTCAATTCTGAGCATTTCTTTTTTGATATGAAATTAACCTTTTTTTTTTAGACTTTCAAATGTGTTGGCATAAATTTGCATGTAATATTTCCTATGATTCTTTTGCTCACTCCTACATCCATGGTTGTTTCTTTTCTCATTCATAATCTTATACTGCTTTTTTTGCTCCTTTCCCTTAAATCAGGTTTGAGAAGAGCTTATCCATTTTAGTGTATTTTAAAAACAAACACACAAAACAACAACTTTTGCTTTTATCTATTCTTTTATACTGTATTTTTATTTCTAAAGTATTTTTAATGTTTATCTGTATCAATGTCTTACTCATAATTGCTTTTGGTTTGTCTTATATGTTTTCTGTTTTCCAAAATAAGAACCTTGGGATCCTTTTCACTCAACTCTTTTCACTAAGAAGAAGAAAGAAAGAGGAAGAAGGAAGTGAAGAAGGAGGAGGGGGAGGGGAGGAGGGG